TCTGATTTTGCTGGGCATAGAATAGAAAGAAGAAGAGAGGAAGAGTGGACCTCTGCTATGATGGGGAAAACTAATTTTTGTTCAGTCCTTTGACTGAGTAAATGTTGGCTGGATGGAGGAGCTTGCTTTTGTGGTCAGATGGAGGAAAGCTGGAATGAGGATGTTTGACCTGAGAGCTCTATTCTGTGAAGAGACAAGAAACAAAACTGGAGGGAAACATTCAGAAAAGGTAAATAACCTGTGAAGTGTTTAGTCTTTGTCCTGTTTGGGCTATTTTGTCTGTTTATCATTGTATTACTCTGTCCATCCATTGTTTTTATTGCTCCCAAAGTGTTCCCAACACAGCACCATTTGTCCCTTTTGTGATTCCCTCTACCCTTTGGCACTACAATATGCAGAGCATGTTGGTGAACAGGATGAGAGATAGATCCATTTTAGTAATTTCTCACCTAATGCCTCTTTCCATGGTGTAAAATTCAGCAAGATCTCATCTCTGGTGTGATTCATAGCCAGGAAGACAAGAACACAGCTGGAGGCTGCAGTATGCAACAGGTATGAAAAGGAAGGGAGATATTTTATGCTGCTGTTATCACCAAAAATAGATCTGTAAGACCAATAATGGAAACCATCAAGATTAAATACAAGTAAGGGAGAGCACAGGTGAATCCTACTCTTTTATTAGTTGCAGAGAAATAAATGTTAGGGACAGATAATCTCAACCTGTGACATGGAACTTTTATTTACAATATAATATTAAAACAGCATGGAAAAGGAGAATTTCCTTCTTCTTCCAGCCACTGCAGAAGCCCAAACCAAGACAAATCACGTGTGACCCTTGGTAGGTCAGACCTGAGCAAGTCTCACCCACCCTGTGAGGACAGGGAGAGCCCAGCTCTGGGTGCATGGGGGTGAGGAATTCTGAGATCCTGTGATGGGAAAGGTCAGGAGAGCATCGCCGTCTCTTCCAGGAGCTCCAGCACCGAGGGGAAAAATAAATCACACAAAGCTTAAATAGGAAACCGCAGCTGCTGTCAGATTAAATCTGTTACAAGTGCATTCCACTGCCTTGCTGAACAGTGTTTTATTTCACACCTCAAAATGTGAGGCCCTGTGCCATGGACTTGCTCCTTTTTCCCTATTCCCCCTAGATGACTTAACAAGCTGAAAGTGCAGCTGGAAATTAATGCTTCCTGTCTTTTTAAATAATGTGACATTGAAATCTTGGTATTTAATGCGTTGGCATTTAGCATGCCACAATATTTCAGTTACTTTGCAGTGGTTGGGGTGCAGAAGTGTTATTACAGCTGTTCTGAAATTCTGACAAAGAGGTGCATTTCTCTTCTTTTTTTTTGTTTCTTTTTTTTCTCCACTCTGTCCCACCATAATTGCTTTTTGCTGCATCTCTGAACCGTAACCATGGCGATCTGCCACATTCATCAGAGGACCCTCTTGTTGTTTTGCTTGTGTGAATGTAAGAAGGGGAAAAAATATAAAAAATAAAAAGAAGAAAGAAAGAGGAGGCATACAATATTTGCAGAACTTTCCCCAAAAAAAGCACAGATTTTTCTTTTTTTAATCCCCCTCCTCCCCTTTTTTTTTTTCTTTTCCTACGGACAGAAGCTGCATTGGAGAAGTGGCCTGGCCAAAACACCAAGGACTTGTTCATAGCCTAAAAAAGGGAGAGGAGGAGTCTGGGTCTGGAGGTGTCACTCTGTGGAGAACAGGCTTCGATAACTGGAGCTTTCAAGCCATTCCCCCCTGAAAGGAGGAATTGTTATGTGCAGAAAGGGCAGGAAAGGTTGACCCTTTTCCATTTCTGTCTGATGACAAGCTGGTCCTTGTTTGAAGAACGAGTTCATGCAGAACACCATTACCATAAGCTCGTGCCATTTCTGACTGGGGCAGGAGAAACTGCTTGGGTTTGGACAGGAGCTGCCCTTCCCTGGGTTTGCTGGGTACATGGTCTGTTCCCTGTGCCATAGGTGGTGAGGAAGGACAGATGTTGAAACCACTGGCTGTGATGAGGCAGGCAAGGGGTGAAGGGGAAAGGAAATGTTCTTGCTCTGACATATTGTTCTACATCTGACACCTTGATGTACTTCTCTTTGCTTCAAGGATCTTTGGAAATCAGCCTGGAGATTTTCATGTAGAGGGACTTGGGCAGTTCACCTTTGCTCATGTTCTGGAGGTACTTCAAAGGGATAGGAAAGTGTCTGACATCCAAAGTGTCCTTTGACAAGCTTTGCCCACCCAATCCATCCCTTTTGGTGGACTCTTCAAGACACAAGGAAAGAAAAGCTAGCAGTGGTTGTCAGAGGGTCTTTGTGGGATCCTGTAGTGTGGAGCATGGGACATGTAACTTCCAGTGTCTGTCACATGAGATGACTGGGGATGAGGATTTGGTATCCTACAAAACCTGGCTTGTTCTGTAGAACAAGCTGTAGAAGAGATTTGTCCCCCTGTAGAGGTAACTCAGCTCATTTCCATGGAGCAGAAACAACAACCTGACATTATTTTGCTCTCCTTCGACATGACAGCCTGGAACAGAGTGATGAAGCAGCTGTGCTCTGCATCCTATGGCAGCATTCACTGAGTGATTTTGAGAGATTTCCTAAATGTCCTTGCTGTGGCAGTCATCTGCAGCAATACCCAATTGTCTTGTAAACCGGTAGCTCTTGACACAAAGCTTCATCTGAATGAGTAATTGTGTGTCCCAAGGCTGTAAGTTGTTGTAATTGGGGACTGGGCTTTGTTTTGGCTTTTCATCATTTGGCACAGGAGCTCTGGTGTCTGGGACTTCAGAGCAGCAACAGGCTGGTGCAATTCACCCCCAAGCTGAGCTTGAAACTCCTTCAGTCTCGTGTTTGTGCCCTGCCATGGCTGGTAGTGCTCACTGTGGAGCTGTGGCAATTGGGGGAGCTTTTCTGCTCCTCCTTTGCTCTCCCTTCAGCCAGCTGCACCTTCTCTAATTTCCTCATACAGTGGAGATTCCACTCACTTCCCCACCACCTCAGCAGTGGATCTGATGGGTCGAAACCTCTGTGTGTGCTGCCAGTGCCCCAATTCCCAGACTGGGATCTCAGCAAACACCCAGCCCATGTTTGAGATTCCTGCCACTGCCCCAAAGCAGGGCACACATCCCTCCTGCCATCAGCACAGAAAGCCGGGGTGTTAGGGGATTCATATGCGCGACGGTCATGTGATGGACATGTCAAGAGGAAGATATCACCTGCTCTGCACTGGAGGGGCTTATTGAAGAGACGCCAAAAAGAAACAAGCGTAGAAGGTCGGTAAGCCGAGGTAATGAAGTTAGGGAGGAGTATCCAACCAACCACTTGTATCTATGAAGAGCAACGAGGAGGGATTGGAGCAAGTTATGGCCCTGAAGTTAGCGCAAAAGAGCAAAACCTCAGCAGTGGTTCTGGTGGGTCAAAACCTCCGTGTGTGCTGCCAGTGCCCCATTTCCCAGTCTGGGATCTCAGCACACACCCAGCCCGTGTCTGATGTTCCTGCCACAGCCCTAGAGCAGGGCACACGTCCCTCCTGCCATCAGCACAGAAAGCCTGGAGGAGGCAGCACAGTTCCCCAGGCAAAGCTGCTCATTGATGTGCCTCAGCCTGGGCGTTTGCTGGCGAGGCAGAGCCACCAGAGCATTGCTCAGTGACCTGAGAGGTATTTGGTTAGAAAATGTCTGCTTCTGTTCTCGTCTGGGAGCCATTTGATCCGTCCCCAAAGATGCAGCACAGTGAAGGCCCTGGGGCCCTCCCATGGGTGACAATGGATACGTTGGGGTCTGCACAGCAAACCAGGCTGTCTACAAGTCAAAAAGTCTTAGAGACCCGTTTGTAGGTGGGATTGTCAATACAGAATAACAAAGCGAAAAGCACTCCGGGCTAAATGTTATCAGAGATTATTTTTAACTTTATTTTTACTCTTTCTGATGTGTTCTTCAATCTGTCTTGTTGATGTTTATTTTTCTGTTTGCAGTAAGGGTCATATGTCATGCCTCCCTTGCATCAGGTGCCATACAACCATGGACTGTCCTTCCCACAAACAGGTCACAAAGTCTTTCTGTGGGGATGAGCTCTCACTGGCTCTGCAGTCACTGACTTGTACATGCTCTATAACAGGAGTTTCTTTAGAGGGTGTAGGACTCCTCATTTCCCTCAGTTTTACCTCCTAATTGGAGGTAAAACAGGACATAAAAAGTGCAATAATATTTCAAAATATTTTCCATAATCAAAATTCACAATAAAATTAATAATTATTTTAAATACCTCGAAATCCAGTATATTTATATTTGGATATTTAATACATGGAAGCTTATTTGCCCTGGAGTTGTTTTCTTGCTTTCTGCCCTTTTTTTCCACATGCTTCCTCAACAGTCCCTAAAAACCTGGGACCCAAACAGTAAAATCAAAATAGATTTTCAGTTTTTTATCCATCATAATGTAGAACTTTCAAAAGGCTGAAAATTCCCTGCTGAATTCTGAAGTAGTGTTTACCTATGGAAGAATGCTCTGTGTGTTGTTTGCAGGGGGCAATCAGAGGACAAAGGTAAAACTTTTTTATGAGTAGGACCGGCACTAAATCCTGTTCCACAATGTTCAGTTAAGGATTCATTGAGTACATATCTGTAGATGTAGAAACCTGCTAGTGAAAATAGATATAGAGGTAAAGCTACTCATTAATGACTTGAAAAGAGGTAAATTAAGTGATAAGCAACAAAAAGTGAAACAGCAACTTTTCACTGAACAACTGTCTTAACTTTTTTCCCAAGGAAAATAGGACAATGAAGGAGTTATGTAAGGTCCCAGTGGACCATGTGAGGTCCATCCTGGGAAAATGCAGGAGCTCTGGGAATGCAGCATCTCATCTCAAGGAAAAATGGCCACAGGATGAGGTGGGCTTTGGAGATAGTTGTGAATGTGATACAAGCCTGAGGTGCCAATTTAAATTTAACTTTTTTCCCCTAGAAGTGAGCAATGCCTGGAGTTTCCAGCCTCCTGCAGACTGAAAACAATAAAGAGATTCCACAGGGATATGTCTTGGTGGGACTAGAAAGGTGCTGTTTCCATATTGCTGATCTCTGAGGGAATTGTTCCAGTGTAAGGTAGGTTCTGAGGCACAAATGACTCTCATTTTTTGCAGCTCTATTTTGGTTGTTATGGCTGAACACAAAAGAGGGCTCAGCAGGGCCATTTGGTGGAGCTGCCATAGGCTGCAGCTTTCCACACAGCAACACTGCAGCAGGCTGTGTGATGATGAGCACCACGAGCTGTAATGCCAGGTAGAGCAAATGGAGCTCAGAGCTGGAAATTAAATATTTTTAATTAAAATCCACATCTGCAAGCTGAGAGGCAGGATTTGGCTGCTGAGCTCTGCTGCCACACTGGGATCACCAGTACCAGACATGGTGATTCCAGTGAGGCAGCCAGCAGATCTCACTGGTTAATATTTAAAAAGGTGCCCAATGGAAAATGTTTTGTGAAAAGTCCTGTCAGGAGTGATTGTATCTGCTTGTGAGTGGTGTCACAGGTGGGGAGCATGGCTCTCCTTTGTGTCAGGGGCAAGCCTGGCTTTTATGAAGGTTCCAAGATGCCTTTTGATGCAATGGCCACTGAATTTGTTGCTATGCCAGCAGTGTGCCATGAGCTCAAACTAAGCCATCCTCAAAGTTCCTCTAAATTCCTGATTGCTCTTTCCATGGCCATGGTTAACATCTCTTGACCATCTCTCTGTTTTTGCACAGGAGGAGGCTGAGGAGAGATGGAAAATGTGCTGGTAGGGTTACAAGCCAGGGCATTCTGCACATCCCACATGCCCCACATTGCTGCTGCCTCTCCTGTGGCCCCACTGCTGCCCCACAGCACCCCCTGAGCAGGGCTTGTGCCTCTCTGTAGTCTGTGGGGTCTTTGGAGCTGGAAACACCTACCAGGAAAGGTTTCATTTCACCATCTCTTTTTGTTTTTTAATGGAATAACTGAATCGGTCTCACACCATCCTTCCTTATGCAGCTACAGAGGCAAGGAGGAGCCAATGAGGAGTTAATTACATTCCTCTGCACCTCTCTGTCTATGTTATAGGCCGTGAGAGAGCAGGTTTGAAGCCTGTTAGCAATGATTTCAAAGCAGGAGAGTAGAGCAGCATATTCATACCTGGTTAATATGCCTCAGCTCTCATCAGCATTTAGCAACCCCCCACTCTGCCTTGACTGCTGTGTTGGTTTTTCTATGCAAATAGATCTAATAGTATGTTTTTCATGAAAAACAAACAACAAAACCTGTATCCTAATATCTTTTAGCAGGCAAGGAGTAACGTCAAGTGGCAGATTAAGAAAAACATGCCAGAAATATTTAGAAAGGCTTTGGGGAAGAGAAAAGCTAGAGCTTTCTGTTCAGTTCCTAAATTTCAGGTTTGTTGTTTAGGTTTGTGTCTACTTAAATGGATAAAGAAGAGTGGTGAGAGAGAGCAGAGAATTTACAGACTTGGAACATGAAGATCTCAGCGAGACAAAAGCTTGTCACCCTCCTATGTCTTCCCAATCAGTTTGGAAACGAGACTTAATCAGCTGAGGCAGTCTGAGCAAACAGGGTTATCGTTCAGCCTTCTCTGAAAGTGGCCAGATTAATACTTAATTCTGTTAAACAAGAAGTGAAGTTTGGAGAGGCCAGCCTACCTTGGACAAGGGTGGCTGTCAGTGCTACAGAGCAGGTGGTGAAACACAAATGGTCAGGTTCACTTTTGTTTAAAATCAATTTCATTTGCTCTAACGCAACCAGGTTGCGTTGGTTATTTTCAGTAATGGCTGGGAATAATTAATTCTCGTTTGATTTAACAAATCTCTCACTCTCTCTCGTCACTCTAACGAAACCCCCAAGTTTTATTAAAAAAAATTACTTTGACACCAAATTAACTCAAGATTTTTAAACCAGTTGTCAGTGTGCCTTTAAGTCAAATCCTCTTTCCACTTTTAGCACAGACGCACGAAAGAGGAGGCTGCTGTTCCTCCACGAGCACGGGGGAAGATTGAGTTGTGTGTGGGAGGACAGAACAGGAGAATACTCCAGTTACTTGGGCCACTCCTCCAGCAAAATTAATAAGTATTGTTAGAAAGTACTTTGCAGGGTAAAAAAAAAAAAAAAATTAAGCTCCTAAGTGTAGTCGAATGATGGGGCTGAGCTGGCAATAATAATAATTAAGGGGAAAAAAGAATTGAAAAAAAAGGTGGCTAATTTTCCCCACCATTCAGACTTATTCTGGGGAAACAGGAGATAGCGCTTTTGTCGCTGTTTCCAAACTGGATAAATCACCCAATCTACAAGCCATAACAAATCTTTCTTCTGTTCCAGCTCTTTCTGAAATTATTTTTCCTCCAGAGAGGGAGGATTGCAGCCCCAAACTTGATTCTGAGGGGTCCAGGATATTCAAGCCTTCAAAGGTCATTCAGACACAAACTAAGACAGACCATCTAGCAAGCATGCGGGGATTGAGTTCAAAATCAAATCTAGGTACTACAAATACCCTGAAGAATTTTCTTTCCATTTTCTATTTTGCCCCATCACTCATATATTGTACTATTGAGTTATCTAAAGAAATAAAGCATGTTTATGTCATCTAGGTATATTCAGCAAACTTTATTCCTCTCTCAAGAGTTCATCCATCAGTTTCAGCCTCCATCTAAGCTGGGGAAATGTGGATCTGTAAGTATATCACTGCATCTTTCTACATCCTGTTCATTATGATGGCTGATCAGCAATTTGGACTCAGAGAAAGGCACAAACTGGACCCAGACAAACCCCACAGGCCTGTCACAAGGCAAAAAGAGAGAGGAGGGGATAAATCCTTTTTGCTCTCCAGAAGTAACCACAGAAACCTGATGTGTAAGATAAATACAATGCAAATAAAGAGGAATCCAGTCTCCTTTCAGCCCTTTGGGGTTATACTGACTTGCAGGATTCATGTCTCCTTGGCAATACAGCCTCTTTCAAAGGCTTATCAAATTCCAGCTCAGATTCCCTTGTGTTTAATTTTAGAAAATGATAACAGAGTTTCAATACTCAAATAATAAATACCTGTGTTGTTTTATGTTCATGGTGAGATGATTCTTGGTGGATCTATAATTAACTGATCTAGTTCCAATGGTGTCCTTCAAATTACATCATCTTTCTTTACTGTTCCCCTGGTCTCACCATCCTGAATCCTGAATGCATTTAAGAAGAATCATCATAAGTTCTTTTCCACCTTTAGGGGTTTAAATAAGACAAAGTCTCTTCACCTCTTCATGAGGGAGCCAGTGCAGTCCTGTCACATATTTCTACCCTACTCTGCACTCATCCCAGTAAGGTGTCTGTTCTTAAATACCAGAACTAGATGGAATATTTCCACAAGATTTTATCAAAGCTTTGAGCATTGATAGCTTTATATGAAAAATGCCTCTCCTAACCCAGTCTAGCCATTCCCTGAATGACCAATAAGCCAGATCCTTTCTTTCCTTTGTGGCACCTATTGGATTATCTTTTTCCAAGCTTTTGGCTTTTCTCTTTCCAGGACTTGGTGAATCTTTGGAAGAGTGAAAAGATGTGAAAATTCCAGTTTGAGGAAGCCAGAGCTTTGGTTGTTGAGCTTTGCTTGTGGAGAAGAAACTCCATTTCTTCCTGGCATCTCTTCAGCCATTTTCTGCACAAGTTGTGCTCCAAGCAGAGCAGAGCTTGTTTCTGTGCCTCGACAGAACTGGTAAGATGAATACAAGTCCCATGGCCATTAATAATAATGATAATATTAATAATACCTACATGGTAGTCTAGGTGAGCTGCTCTTAGCCTTTCTTCCTCTTGTGCTTCCAAACCAGCAGATGAAAAGGGATTTGCAAATGCAATGAGAGCATTAGCCGTGCTCTAAGCAGCTTTTGCTACTGAGTTTTGCAAAATTACAAGTCAAATTTGTGTTGCCTATCAGGTTTCCTAGGAGCCACAACATGAGTTGGAGCAAGTGGTGGGGACTGTGGGGATTGCTCAGGTGGTGCTTCAGCAGTTCCAGGGTGGTTCTCCTGTGTGTGATAAGGTCAGACCAGTGGGGACTGTCCTAAGTCATAATTCACTTTTAGATCAAAGATCATATTTTGAGATGAAGAATGCAATTATGAATAGTTTATAAACTGGTAGTAAATTATTAATAGGGAAGAATACCCAAGTCATGAATAACATGTTATAGATTATTTAAAGCTCATCAGTTCTAGTAGTGTAGATGAATATAAACCTGGCTAATAAGCACAGTATTGAACAGCCCATAACAATCGATTTACTCATTATTAATATATCTATTACTGCCTTATTAATGTGTTGTTCACTATTTATGTGATTGCTCTGCCAGTAAATTAATCTAAACAGATTTCTTTTTAAACAATAATTTATTTGGAAAAATTATTCTTCTGCACTCTGAATTTGGAATTTGTTGAAGAATATACATAAGCACCTTTTTGTCCCTGTAGTAAATTAAAAACATTTGACTGTTTATAATGGCTGCCCAAAAGGTGGTATTTCCTCTGCCACTGCTATCAAAACCCCTTTCCATAAACTAATCAAATAAATGTGCAGCCAAGGGAGAAATCTAAAATAATTATGTTGATCTAGGGCTTTGAAAGGAAAAAAAAATTGACAAGCAGAAAGTTATCAGGCCTGTTGGAAGTGTGGTCCATGTGAGAATACCCTGGGTGAGATGGGTGGGATCTGCAGCTCTGGTTGTACATGACATTGTCTGAGCACAGCTCCAGGGGTAGCACTGAGGAAGGAGCTGGTGGGGTGAGTATCAGGAAGCATTTCCTGGCAGTGAGGTCTGTCTGAGGTGGTGGAAGGGTCTCCCTGGAGGAATGGAGGAAGTCCTGTTGCTGGAGTCAATTAAAGGCCAGTCTAGACAAGCCCTCCATTAGGATATTCTCCCAAGGAGCACCCTTGCAGACAGAGAGGGAAATGACATGAGGGATGGGAAAATGACCTCATCCATCTCTGTCACCTTTAAAATGCAGAGGCTATGTTGGTGTTGGCTACCCCTCCACAGAGGATGCCAGTAAAGATATTAATCGTGGAGATGGTTTTGTGATACGGCTGGGAAGGAGACAGTAAATATCAGTGACTCATAAGAATTGGCAAAAAGCTCCTTCTGACGCGTCTTTTGGTCACTATTTTTGTGGTGAGGTCTGGATAATAATCCAGCACGTGTGGAAAGCTATTTGGTTCATTTACCAATCAGGTAGCATTTGGATTTCATCATCATGAAAGATAACAAAAGAAAAAATATTAAATTGCAGTGCACCTAAAAACATTGGAGTGTCCTCCACTAGAGACAGTCATCTTGTCTCCATCCAAAGCTGCATTCCTCTAGAACTAATGCTGTAGCATAATCAATAAAAGGAGCTCAGCTCCACCTGGGTAATGGCAGAGGGTTTTATTTTATCCCTCTTGGCCCTGTGGTAGCATCAGAGGCTGCTTGGTGGCATTTGCTGTCACAAAGCTGCCACCCCAGTGGGAGCATGGTACCTGGGAAACCCACCAGCGGAACATCCCTGGCAGAGCAGGAGGGCTCTGGGGCCATCTCTGCCCTCTCCACCCTGGTGCCTGGCAGATGGGACACAATCAAGGACCCCGTCTGCCTGCCTGGCAGTGAGGTGTTGGAGCAGCTCCCTGTTGCTTTTGCGGGCACCATAAATGTGATCAGATTTAGGGGCTGCTCCAATTTATACAGCACTGGCACCTCCAAGACAGCTGGGAAGCAAGAGTGGCTCTAAAACATCACAGTGATGCACCAAATAAGTGCTTAGCTCAAAAACTGGCCCTGTGCCTCATGCAGACTGACAAGGGTCTGTCAAAATCTACCTGTGCAGAAGAACAGGGAGGAGATAATGATGGTTTTTACCTTGCTAAGGTAGGAATTATTTTCATCCTGTGCAATAAAAGCTTAATGGTGTACATGCAAGGCACAGCTGTACAATTCATCTCGTAGTCAGAATGTTATCCTGAAAATTAGGTTTTAGTTAACAAAGCACATAACAATTCTCTCCTCATCCAACAGCTAGAAGTCCTGAAAAAACCAGGTAGGGGAGTCAGGCTGGGAGTAATTTTCTTCCCTCTCACAAAACATAAATTGCTTTTGACTATTTGTTTGTTTGTTTTTAAAGGCATTTTTTTATTTATTTATCTTCGAGTTTCCAAGGTCATTAAAAATGAATGCAGGCCTTTAAATTTCTAAATACCAGAGGAGCTCCCATTAGCTTTCATCCTGCTGTCAGTGTCTTTTTCGGGAATATCGCAGCCGCACATGCGGAGGAAACGCACCCGGCCGGTAGATAACGCCCGACTGGCCTCTGACCCTGGGGTTAAACTGCTGTCTGGGCTGTGCAGAGCAGCATCCCCCCTTCCCAGGGATGGAAAGCTGCCAGCCAGCTGTCAGTGTGCCAGGGCATTGCATCCAGCACAGGGATGTGAGGATATGGTATCTTTTTAATGTCCCTTCCTTTCATGCCCCTCTGCGTTCACAGGGATGCAGGGGATTGTGTGAGCTGGTGCTGAGCCTCCCATCAGTTGTGTTTTCATAGCTGCCAACTAAATCTGATTAGTTTGTCTGCATTCCCGGGAAAGTAAATCTGCTGTTTATCTCCAGGTCCATCAAATCCTGGTTATTTCAACTAATGCTCGTTAAGGCATATTATTATTTATTTTCCTTGTTGTGCAATAGCCACAAGGATTTTTACAGTCTGTTGAATTATAGGTAAACGGATGGTTTATCAAGCTAATACAATGAGACTGGTAAGGCAGAGCCAGTCTCTCTGAGCCTCTGGTTCAATAAGGAAGGGACAGAATGACAGAGATTCATGTAGCTTTGATTTGGTCCTGATGGCACTAAGGACGGAGGAGTGATTGCTGTTGTTGGAGCTGGGCAAGCCACCAAAGTGGTTTTTAAGGGGTCTTTGACTGCCCTGCTTGCTACAGTACCCCCATGACCTGCTGCAGGACAACTTCTGCCTAAAATCTGCAACCAGAACATGCCCTTCCCAAAGCCTGGGTATGCTACAGCTTCATTAACACCACCTCCAGCTGGCTCAGGTTGGGTATCAGGGAATGAGGGGCACTTTCCTTACAGTCCATTATCACAGTGGTGTTTGCTGCTGCTCAGGTGACTTGGCTTCTTTCTGTTCCTCCCTAGCTCAGCAGTTTGCACTTGCAATAATACTGTGAGTTTAGAGATGGGAAATTGAGTTTAACTGATTTGCCCAAAGACATCCACAAAGACTATGCAGAGCAAATGAATGTACTGAGGAAACAGATCCTGAGCTAACCCCTGCCCATCCCCACACCATTCTCCTTCCTCCAACCTGAGGTGGAAAAGAGAGGTCACATCCAGGCATGCTTTAAAGCATGGCAAACAAGCAAGAGACAAACATGGGACTGAACAGCTTCCAAACAGGATCTTCCTGAAATACATTTGGCAGTTCAGGTGCAGAAAAAAACTCATCATTTCCCTCTCTATTATATTTATGCTCATCTGCTGCCTTCCCCAGATGTGCTTGCATCTTTGGTGGGTGAAACGACTCCTGGGAGGACACAATCTGGACAGTTTTTTTAGAGCCAGTTTTCCTGCACTTGGAGCTTCCCAAGCTTTGACTCACAGCTGGTTCTCAGTTGGATGCAACAGGGTCTTTCAGGA